AGGGGGCTGAAGCTCCGAAGTATATATTTAGGACAAAGAAACTTTGGGTGGTCTAGCTGTTTGTAAGTAACATTTACTTGTTGTTTTCTGTTGGTCATGCTTTTTTTTTCTAACTATCTATATATATATCTACAAATATTTTATCTGAATGCTAAAAAAAAATGTTGCAACTCTATGATCTTCTGAGACTAGTACCGGATTGTTTTTCGCCATAATTTAAAGTTTACTGCCTGGCAATGAGGAGAGGAGCCAAAAAGAAGCTAGGATCATGCTGTAGGCACTAAATCTCAGAGGAAAAGTATCAGGAGTTTAAGAAGGAAAAAAAGGGAAATGACCAATATGCCAAAGCTAAAACTTCTGCTGCAGTTCTGAATGTACATTATCCTCATTTCTGGGTAGGGGGGAGAAAGGAAAAAAAGCAGAACTTGCATTAAAATGTTTGCCAACTAAGAACGCCTTTGTATATAAGGCATGCCCTTTTTAGAACAGTCTTGGTTTTTGTACTTTTAGCTACTTAAATTTGATGATTTTTTTTTTAAATGATTTAACTTCTAAAGCAATATTTATAACTCTAGTTTGCAATGCACACCTCCTCAGGGAAAACAATTACTCTGTACCTGCCTGAGTTAAAATATAAATGCTCATGTCCAACTTACTGTAGAAAATGTCACATTTTCCAGTATACTTTAAAAAATCTCTTTTATAAAGACTGAGTTTAGATTCTTTGTGATTAAAAGTCTGTATATGACTTTTAGAGCTGTTGGGATCAATGTCTTGACAGAAGAAACAGCTGAGATGCCATGCTTCATCCCACAATATTTAAACACTTACTGAATACACAGAGAAAATAAAGTATTTTTGAAAGTGAAACTCTGTTGTCTCTTTACCTTTTGAAATCCTCTCTCTCCCTCTCTCAAACCACAGTCAAAGTATGACTGATAATGACCTGATACAGCCAACTTGGATCAAATAATATTTGCCTTAAGTAGGTTCAACCCTACTGCATTTGTGTGAGAATCTTATTACAATAGGGACCTAAAACTGACAATAAAATTTGACCCTGTTGTAACCGGTGATGCCTATATTGACTTGAAGAAATCAGGTTTTTAACCATCCTGTTTCGGGTGAAGAGTGGGAAAGCTGCAGTTCACACTGAACTTTTATAAGTGCTGCTTTCTAACCTCATGACCTCATCACTCAAAAGCAGATTCATACAAAAAAGAGAAAAAACAAGAGCTGATGGCTAAGACCTCAGCTGGTATAATTAATGTATCTAGTTATTTTAAAGGAGCCAGGGTCCATTTACACCGCATGAGCATCTTTCTAATAAAAAGCAATCTGAAAATACTTCTTTATGGAAAAGTGACAAGTCGTTTATGATGCCACTTTATATCCAGGATAAAGGAGTACAAAATATAAAGGGCACCTATACACATAATGCCTAGTCTGATGCCTTCTAATTAAAATATGTTGGCACAGACTCAATCTAATTGGAATGCTTCAGCAGCCTCGACATCACATGTATTGGGTGTCCCCACATTTCAAAATGGAAGCGGGGGATGCTTTAACTAAAACTTATCACTGTGGGCATTTTAACTAAATCTATTAAAATGCACGCCTCCACCCTTTCACTCTGGAGCACATGTAAAGACCTCCTACTGTTTCTGACTATTTTTCATTTCCTTTTTTATAATGCGATTGATTTATTAAATAAATCTTTGAAGTTATATTTAATTGGAGAATTGCAGAGACTGGGAAGTATCTGCAGGAATTAAACTTTTTTTTAAAGCATAAAACTTTAGGAAACAGTAGATGAGGTACAGTATATGAAAATGTTTCAGTGTAACTTTCTGTGATGCTGTATTAACTATTGTTCACCAGTTGTTCACTTTCTTCATTCTAGAGATTCTAACCCAACAATGATCTCCTTGATATAGCTGCATGAATAATGGCAAGTATGCTTTATCTGCATGTAATACATTCCCAAATAATTTACATCATGATTTCTTTTATTCTTTGCTGTAACTACCCTTGAGGATCAAACACCCGGGCTTTTGTTCTTCCTGTGTATATATAATAGGTAAATTAGCCTGACACACTTCCCAAGTACTACTCGAATCCCTATTCCTTTCCCTTACCTTAATGGTACTCAGCTGCGCTATGCTCCTAGATTAAGCTGTTGCTCTGCTTGCCGGCTCCCTGTCTGATCTGATGCTCTGCTGCTGCTCCCTGCACAATCTACCACTGGGCTGCCTGCATAGGCAACGGGTAGGGAGTGCACCGGGGGTGCATGTGCCCCTCTTGACCAGGCCAGTGGCCCCTCTGATGGCCAACACTGATGCCGTTGGCAGGGCTGGTGCCCACCCTGACAGGGCCACTGCCATTGGTGGCTATGCTGGTACCCCCCCAGATTCAGGAGGTACCAGTTGCTCATGGCTGCCTGTCCCCTCAATCTACTGTGTGCTACGCACAGAGGCTGCCTGCTTTTTGTGACAATTATGCTGCAGGTTGACAACCCATGATATGATCAAGGACTATATTTTATTGCATGGAGTAACATATATTCAATCACATGGTGAAAAATGATTGCAATTTTTTAGATGAAGATCCCCCCCGCCACCCCCCCAAAAAAAACCCATAAGCTCAAAGCCGGTAAGATTTCAGCCAAAACAGCTCTGTGAACTTATAAACAACTCAACCCAGGGTCTTATTACAGAAAGTATGGGGCAATGCCAGCAGGGCACTACCCTTTAATACAAACAGTTCTGTTGTATTCTTTCAGGTTCAGTGAAATTACATACCAGTGAATCAGTCAACTGATTCAGAAACATGGGCAAACAATGGTGTCAGTTAAAAATGAATTGCTACACCCAAGTTCAGCTTTGCTGTATACATGTGTTATCAAAATGATGTTTCCGCCTACTCCTACCTCTGGTAGGAGTGTAATGTAAGCTGTCTGGGGGAAAATATCCAGGTCTGCCAATATTACCATCAAAATAGTAGGGCAGACAGCCAAAGCAGGCACCATTCTTTGACTCACAAGTGGAATATCAAAAGATGCCATCCTTTAAGACCTCTTTTTCAAAATGGGATTATTCCTGAGACAATCTGATCCGATCCAGTCTAACAAAGTGTCAGGTCAAAGTTTAGATGCCTGTGTGATGTGTTCTTAACAGAAGGTTGCTGTATGCTTGCTCTCTGGTCCCCGCTGGTGCCCGAAGCTCTCCTCAAAATCAAAGCACAGCCAACCTGACCTTAATAGGCCTGAAGATCAGAGAAATCTTTCCTTGATAATCAGGACTACTGAAGCACTGAAATGGTTGTTATCCTTTGGGTGGGGAACTAATATCCAACTCAGGTCTTAGGAATACTAACAGAAATTCAGATGAAGAAAAAAGCAATGGGAGATCTTCCAAGTGATGCCAAAAAATGATGGACAGGGCTCTAAATTTGCAAAACGAATTTCTTTCCATATATAAATAGGATTTCATAGACATTTGGGCTGGAAGGGACCCCGGAGGATCAGAGTCCAGCCCCCTGCCCCAGGGGCAGGAAGTCAAAAGGGATCATAGGATCCAAGCAAGATAAGCATCCAAATGTGTCTTGAAGGTGTTTAAAGTGGGTGTTTGAACTGCCTCCGGCAGCAGGCCATTCCAGACCTTGGGGGCTCGGACACTGAAGACGTTCTTCCTTACGTCCAGCCTGAATCGGTCGTGCCAGAGTTTGTGACCATTCGATCTTGTCATCCCTTGGGGCACTCTGGTGAATAGACGTTCCCCCAGATCCTGATGAGCACTCCGGATAAACTTATAGGTGGCCACCAGATCACGTCTGAGCCTGCGCTTTTCCAGCCTGAAGAGTCCCATGGCTCTCAGCCTCTCATCATAAGATCTGTTTTCCTGACCTCTGATCATGCGCTTGGCCCTCCTCTACACCCTCTCAAGTTTCTCCACATCCTTTTTGAATTGTGGAGCCCAAAACTGGACACAGTACCCCAGTTGCGGCCTCACTAAGGCTGAGTACAAGGGGAGAATGACATCCTGGGATTTGCTTGAGAAGCATCTATGGATGCAAGCCAGCGTTTTGCTCACTTTACTAGCCGTAGGATCACATTGAAGGCTCATGTTCATCTTGTGGTCAATCATGACCCCCAAGTCTCTTTCATCTGTGGTGCTAGCCAACATAGCACTGCCAAGCCTATAAGCATGCTGCAGGTTTTTCCTCCAAGGTGGAGAACCTTGCATTTTTCGGTGTTAAACACCATCAGGTTCTCATCCACCCATTTCATGAGCCTGTCAAGATCTGCCTGGATCACCCTCCTGTCCTCAGGTATGGATGCTTTACCCCAGAGTTTGGTGTCATCGGCAAACTTGGCCAGCCCACTTCTGACACTAATGTCCATGTCATTGATGAAGATGTTAAATAGTATAGGTCCTAGGATAGAGCCTTGAGGGACCCCACTGGTGACCGTGCACCAAGACGATTGGCTCCTGTCAACCACCACCCTCTGGGTCCTACCGCAGAACCAATTCCCCAGCCAGTGGACTGTGGTGAGGTCGAGGCCGCAGTTAGCCAGTTTAGCCAAGAGGTGATCATGGGATACCAGATCGAAGGCTTTTTTAAAGTCAAGATGTATAACGTCAGTCTCTTCCCCCTTGTGCAGGTGATAGATGACCTGGTCATAAAAGGAAATGAGATTGGTCAGGCAAGACCTACCCACAACAAACCCATGCAGGATATTGCCATTGGCCAGTCTGTTAAGGATGGCCTCTTTGATAATCTTTTCCAAGACCTTTCCCAGGATAGAGGTCAGGCTGATGAGCCTGTAGTTTGCTGGATCTACTTTCCTCCCTTTCTTGAAGATAGGCACCACATTGGCCTTCTTCCAATCTTTGGGCACTTCACCAGAGCACCAAGAGCTCTCAAAGATCCGTGCTGGGGGCTGAGCGATGATGCTTGCCAG